ATATAGAAACAAGAAAAGATCGCTCCCTTACCCACAATCGCTTGAGGCAGATTAGGGTTTCTAAACCAAAGCGAGACCCCAATAGTCCAAGATAGAGACTAAAGGGAAACTCTCTCTCAGGATTTGATATTGCAGGAGGCAAATACCAAATCAACAATAACTAATTAGACCAGCTTAGGGGAATTGCTTTCTGAAACCTTTAATGGATACTACCGCCGTCAACCCTAGAGGTTGAAAACCTAACAGGAACACTGGAACCCTAGCTCCGAGACTCTCGCTAGACGAGAGAAAAATTGTTTCAGCGGTTCAGTTTTAGAAATCTAGTTTCCGATTCATATTTCTCTCTTACTTCCGAGGTATACTCAATTTTGGGAATAACTTTGCCTTTACTTTTCACAAATCCACATACATTCCAAAATTATGGTTATGATAAAAGTTGTAATCCTTCAAAAGTTATGCAAAATAAAATAAAAAGTTTCATGACATTCGGATTGTGAAACACAAAGTTATGGTCTTCCAAAGTTTGTCGAAATCGAAAAATTGCTCGTTCGGGGTAGCGAACAACATTTTTTTGGAATGAAGGCTTGTTGCAAGTTGAAAGATCTTGAAAAGTTATGTGGAATCAAAAAAGAATTCGCTACAATCGGATAGCTGAGCACAAACTTACGTTCGTTTGAAGTTTTAGTGTTAGGTTAGGCATTCACCGCGGCAGTCAACCGCGGTGATGCATTCACCGCTTTTGTCTGCCGCGGTGAATGCATTCATTGCATTTGACGACCACAGTGATGCCCAGCCATGTGTATTTTGGAAATTTTTCATAAAACATGTGTATTTTGGGAATTATTTTAAAAGATAATTGTATTTTGGGATATTTTTCCTGATTATCTTTGCACTCCAATCTTGTATTTCAAATCTTTATGAATTTTTTAAACATCTCACCAATTTATGAGTGATTTTATCATTTTGAGAGTAGCATATGCAATGGAATGGGTGTTGCGGGTCGACCCACAATCCAACCAATCCTACCCAAAAATTATGGGTTAATCGGGTTCGAGTCGTTTGAGTTTTGGGTTATAAAAGCCTCAACCTATATTCTATTTTCCAGGTGGGTTCAGATCGGGTCAACGGATCAAGTCCTTATTTGCCAGGTCCACTGACATCTGTTGTACCAAATTCAACCGCCCGGCATTTCACTAGCTTGATAACCATGTTGTGAAGTATTAAAGATGGGCTTCCATCGTCCTACAAATTCATTTGGAGGGGCTATGATTTTTTGGCTTTGGGATGGATTGGATAAGAAGAAGAAAAAAGCAGAGTAGCCAACCACCTTATTAGAGGGCGATCCCGCAATTTAATTGGCATTTGATGCCCCACTAACCTTTCTATTTCATTTTACACTAAAGATGAGCATCAGTTTGCATCTTTGTGCTTTCTTTTGTTAAATATTATTTTATTTGTTATTGTGTTTTACCCTAAATATGCGCAGTAGAATGCTTATTGTGGGTCATTGATTCCGCCACAGGCCACAGCAAGCCACTCTAATGTCAAAAATAATCCGCTACTATCATCTTCTTTTCCATTTTTTTCAAACTTTTCAGACACCGCTTCTTTCAATTTTTCAATTTGTTATGTTAATGCGTTTATTCTCCGATTGTTGCAGGTTTTTGAAGAAGTTAAAGGGCTATGTCGGTAATAAGGCACATCCAGAAGGTTCTATTGTTGAGACTTATTTGATCAATGAATGTCTCACATTTTGCTCACGTTATTTGACTGGAGTTGACGTTGTATTTAATCGGCCCGAGAGGAATGATGATCATGTTAAGACAGCTTCTTCCAAGTCTCACCAACTATCGATTGTTTCACTTATGGCCCATTGTCTAGGAGGAAATCCAAATATGGAGGAATTAGGAGGCAACCTTATGAATGCTACTATTTTTTATGTCTTGGAAAATTGTGATGAGTTACAGGAATATTCCAGGTGATTTAGTAATCATATTTTGTCATATTTTAGAAGATTAATCTTTTCATTGAAATTTCTTATTTACTGATCATGCACATTGTTTATTATTTATGTATAGAGAGCATAAAGACATGTTAGCTTCCCGGGGTGTTCGTCGGATTGAACAAATGCACAAACAACAATTTGCACTATGGTTCAGCAAGAAGGTAAGTGCACTTATTGCTTATGGTAGATTCAAGTCATATAAATACATATTAATTTTATCTTATTAATTGTAGATTATGATGATGTATCGGGAGAATCCTAAAAGTGTGAGTCTTTCTCCATCATCTCTAGCTTGTGAACCAGATAAAAGAGTCAGTTACCACTCAGGTTATTACATTAATGGATTTCGATTTCACACAAAAAATCGTGAGCAAAATCGGCGTACTCAAAATAGTGGTGTGATGGTGAGAGGGGAGAATGAAGGCAACATTCCTTATTATGGTACTCTTATTAAAGTCATTGAACTTTGATACACAGAAGGCCTTCGAGTGGTGCTTTTTCAATGTGATTGGTATGACATAACCCGGGAAAACATTGGCTACAAGAAGGATCATCATGGTATTACTACCATCGATAGAACACACCTGTTGAATATATACTCAAGAACCATTTGTCTTAGCCAGTCAGTGTATACAAGTTTATTATGTGCCTTGTATCAAAGATCCTAAATGGGCAACAATTATTGAAACAAAGCCTAGAAATTTGTTTCAGATGCCAGAAGATGATGGTGGAGATGATGATGATGATGGCAATGAAGCATATCAACAAGAGATTATTTCATTAACTGTACCTCAAGGGATTGACAATGATGAAGATGAGATGAACTGGAGTAGAGAGGGGCCTGAAGATTTGTAGACTGAAATGTCTACTTTTATTTTTCTATAATATTTTATGATTAGTTTTCACAATGTTGGAGTAAAACCTCCACAATCGACGACGGCTAAGTTGGGATCCTTTATTTCTGATGAGATCTATTCTAGGATATGTATGTGGGTTTTTTATTTGTATTTTTCATTCCATTATGCTTCGTTATGCAACACTTGGGTTTTCATGGAACTTTCCAAAGGCACCCAAGGTATTTAATGAAATGGCTCTACAGTGGTGGGTAGCTCTTGTATTTGTATGGAATCTTATTATGAAGTATTCTGCAAATATAATTCCAGAGGGATAGCCTTTTCTTGGCCTTTCGATTCTCAACAGTTGGCTGCCAACTGAAGCTAAAACTTCATCTTAATGATTATGGCCGACTTGATTTCTCAATCGTTGTTAATCCCTTTCTCCCATTGATGTTACCCATTGGTTGATCAGAATGTACTTGATATGGGTACAATAATGGGATTTGGCACCAATCACAAAAAGGGACTAATGCACTAAATAAATTATGATGAACAAATTTCACCGACGGGTGACAGGCTGTCGCACTCCAAAGAATGAACGTAGTGACGAGGATTCAAATTTTACCGATGAGGAATAGCCTTTGTCACAAATATTTTTTTTTTGCAACGAAACATTACGAATGAACTAATGATATTCATCACAAATAACCATGGCGCCAATTTTTCCCTCCAAAAATTAGACTTAGTAACAAAAATTCATATTTTTTACCGACAAGATACAACCTTCGTCGCAAACACATAAAATTTTGACGGAACATTATTGACGAGAGTGTAACGTCATCCCTAAAAGTATTCTTTGCGACGAATTTGATCTGCCCTCGCTAAAGGTTGTCACTAATGTCTGTCTTTTCCGACGACATGTAGGTTTTGTCACAAAAGCAATGTTTTGACGGAACATTACTGACGACCAGATTTTATTCGTAGCATATAACCATGGCGCCAATTTTCCCCTCCAAAAAGTGTAGTTAGTGACAAAGATTATTGTCTTTATCGATGATGTCTATGCTTTGTCGCAAATACATATCTTGTTGACGAAATATAATTGACAAAAGTGGAATATCGTGCCTAAAAGTCATTTTTAGCGACAAAATTGACCCATCATCGCTAATTTTTGTCACCAATAACACGCTTTTTTGTAGTGCCTATCAGCAAAATACAAAAACAAAAAATACAGAAATGGGAGTGAAAAAAACAGTAAGAAATTCCTCATACTATCTTCCCTTCCCAAACAAAAGACATGCTTCATTCAAGGAGACTCTTTCCCGGTTCTTTTCATCTCAAGCACACCACAATCAATACTCCAACAATCCTAATAGACTAAAAGTAGGAAAACAAAACAAAGGAGAAAACGCAACATCAGAGAATTGGATGAAAGCAGCGATACCCTTCACCAAACAACAAAGAAAAGGTCGGTAACTACTAATCCAGCCCTTATTTCTATCATTCATTATCATAGTTGGGTCCTTCCCTCCTCTTTTAGAATGAAAAAAAAAAGAAAGCAAAACAAAACAAAAAAAAAAGAGAAAAAGAACATATCAACACCCTATTTCCTCCTAATAAAAACTAACAATCAACCTCTAATATTACATGCAAATTGCATAACTGATCGCAAAGCTCATCATGAATGTCCGAAAAAAACTAGGTGTCGTGGTCTTCATTGTGGTCGAGAAAAAGACAGGGCAAGAGGTGAGAGAATTAGAGAGATGGGAAGAGACCAGAAGAAAAAGGTTTTTTCTTTTCTTTATGTTCGTGTTTTAGAGAAAAATGAGAGAGAGAAATACGGTAAAAGGAGTGAGTGACTGAGAGGCGAGGGTTAAGAATCTCCTAGCCCAAAAATTTATTTATATACCCTAACTCCAATAAGACCAAATTTCCCCTCAATTCCATTTAAAATTACCCATTCCCATTCCCATTCCCCCTTCTAAGAAACGAAAATCACCAAAAATTTCACACCAAGTAGGCTAAAACCCATTACATCCAGGTTAACAAATCTCTCCCTGCCACACTTAACCAATGATCTAGCTTAATTTCGTGTTCAAACTTCAAACTAATCCTTCGTTGACTTTTTTTGGGTAGAAAATGGGACGCTAAAAGGGCGCCCCTGCCTGAAACTTATATTAAACGATCTTGGGTAGTACCCATGTTGTCATACATGATCCAGAAATTAAGACCCGGATCCGAAATATCAAACAAATGAGTGCCCAAACTGAAAACATGGGCCTTATTGGCCAAATAGTCAGCCACTTTGTTGCACTCGCGGTAGGAATGAGAAATCTGCACCTCCCAATTACGTTGTAGAAGATCCTGAAAGCGCCGAGTAAGGTTGTGGTAGCGCCCGTTGTCGTTGTCTTTAGCTGCTAAAATGGCCATGGCCGCAGTAGAGTCTAGGCGGAGGAGAACTTTCTTGTGACCCTGATCCCAAGCCATTTGTAGCCCTGTAAGTGCCTCGATCATCTTCGCCTTGGTAATGGAGCAGCTGCCTAAGTTTGCAGCAAATGCTCCTACCCATCTGCCAAGGTGGTTACGAAGCAGCCCACCTGCTGCCGCTGCCGAATTATGCTGCAAAACAGATCCGTCCGAGTTGACTGCCATCCAGTCTATAGGGGGAGGCTGCCATGAAAGATCTTGTCTGGTTTTTGTAGTCGTCGTCATGGTAAAGAGCTTCTTGTGGTTGTCTTGTGCGTAAAATCCTTATAAAAATTTGAATGTGAGAAAACCCTATTTAAGTTAAACACAGTCACTTCTATATGTCAAAATCCTTCAATATTTAATTACCGTAAAATTACTAACTTCATTGTGTTACCATTACTCATATGCAATTATGTTTTCATAAGAAAATCCGTTAATAAGAGCCATGGACAATAGACCGTGAAAGTCGTTCATGAAGAAAATTTTCAAAAGGATCATCTATCACTAAATCCTAAGTTTAAATATCATAGTATATATCTTCAAAATTCAATACCAAAACTTAAACACAAACGAATAGAACGTGTTAAGTTTCCTAAGAAAAAACAGTAGTGAGAGATTACAGGGTGAAGTGGAGTCTCTATCAGAGGAAGGTGGGCTCGGAGCAGAATTACGGGCTAAACACCACAAATCGGAATCATTCAGATGGAGAGAGGGATGGCGATTTCTTCTTCTTGTTGTTGTAATTCTGGACGACATGGTTGGCTATCCCTTTGGCCATGCGTTCCAACAGGTCGGTGGAGAGATAGGCGAGAAGCTCAGGTTTGGCGTCGTCCACCTCGTAGAGGAGCGTGGACTTGATGGCGCTGGACTCGGCACCGGTCTCCACGATTTCGAGGCGGACTCGGAGCGAGTCGAAGCCCAGAGCCAGTAGGCCGCCCTCGACTGTCTCGGTCTCCTTGACCCGCTTCTCGTCGTCCGCCACCGTGAATACCTCCTTCACGTATCCCGCCCCAGGAGTCCCTGTTAAAAGGGCAGCAAATTGATTACCCGAAAAACGACGTCGTACCAAGGCATAATTAATTAGCGTCTAACAAAGGTAATTAATACCCGGTGGGAAAGTGAGGTTGACGAGGGTGCCAACGCCGCCGTCGCCTTCAAGGACTTGGGCGTGGCCGATGGTGTCCGACATCAGCTCAGTGACCAGCCTTGCCAGCTCAAGCCCGCGGTACGCCTCCCACACCGCGCTCGCCGGAGCTTCCACCGCCGTCTCCTGTGTTAACTCCCCTCGCATACTTTTGAGACTGTGATTAGATTTAGCTAGCTAGCGCTCACGAATTCTGACTTGTCTCGCTCTGTGTAATATGCAAGGCTCTTGTTACGAAACACACGCAACAAGCACCTAGCCTTCTTAGTAGTGACAAACAGAGGGATCCGAGATTCTTTTTTCGATTGATTCGGCTGAATGGGGCGGCGCACCAGATTTGGCCTGGTCTGGCCTTCATGTGACTACCCACTACCAGGCACCAGCACCACAAGTTGGCCTATCCACGTGGATTGATTCTCTTTGTGTATTTATTATTTCATATATTCTCGACCAGAGAATATGATTCTTCCACTTCTTTTGTTTTACCTTCACTCCGGGTCCGGTGAAGGGGAATGTGATTTTTATTTTACCTGAAAAAGCTATCGTTAAGCGTATTAGAAAAATAAATATTTTAATGAATAATAGTTTTAACGTTGACCCAACTTTATTTCTTCATGATCTGGCTTGCTTGAGGTCCAAGCAACCTCTTGGGGCAATTGGATCCGCATCGGTTAGACAGAATCTAATGCCCTCTCCATTAGATTCTTCTTGGAGTCTAGTTGAGACTTCTAGAAGACTTCCTATTCATTAGGCTTAGTCTTAGGTTGTGTTTTTACCTTGATGAAACACACAAAAATATACCATAAAGACATAAAATTAAAAAAAAAATACAATTTATCATTAACATACAAGATGTTTTTCCTATTAGTGCATTGATAAAAGAGCAAAATGGATCAAATATGAAAGCGATAAATACTAAAAATTTAATCATTGATCTACAAGATGTTGATCAATGAACGCAATCATAGAAGTTCATGGTTGATTCAATGCTCTCATCGGCATCACATAAGATTCTTCGGTACCAGTTGCGCCCTCCCTTAATCCATGCATAGATTTTTTTTTATGTATTCTAAATCTGTAGTGGAAGAATCAACAGTGGTTCAATAGTATTTGTAGTAGTTTTTGCCGTGTCACTCCTTGTGTCTCCAACTATATATGGCGGAAAAACCCATTCAAGTTTAAATCTAAGGTATTTGAAATATAAGTATTTAAAATAAATATATTTGAAATATACTAGCAATTAAAATACTTTAACTCAAATTTATTGTTTCCATATTTATTTGTTATTTGTTTTTATATTAGATTTTATGAGTTTTTATTTTAATATTGAAAATTTTGATTACTTACTAGAAATTTGGATAAATTACATTTTGGTACTCAATTTTATTTTTCTTTAAAACTTTTTCCGCCGAATCCGTTACCCTTTTACTATTAAGCAAAAAAGAACTGCAAATTTTTCTGTTGGGGGCCACAATGGCAACCCATTCGTTGTATTCCCCGGCAGAAAAATACAATGAAAACAAGAAATAATATCTCCCACTACATTTTACTATATCTCTATCACCAGCAATACAATCTTCTCAACTTGTCAAATCCTGCTTCGTTAATGCCTGCAGAGTTGCAACATCACGTTCCAATTTAGAGTGACATCACCTGCACCTTTCCTACCAAATATAAGTGATCAACAGACACCACTTTACCCCAATAGAACTTCCTTGGGTGTTCCTGATAGCTTGGCAAACAGACATTAGTGATTCCTCCCAGGAAAATCTACACACCACCTCGACTTGCAGGATACCAGCAACTACTTGCTTGACAAAATCACAGCTGAAAAACAAGTGATCTCGTGTTTCACTACCATTGTGACAGAGAACACAATAGTCATCATTGACCTTCCCCCATCGCAATAGCTTGTTCTTAGTAGTAATGGCATCAAGTATAACAAGCTAGGCAATAAAACTAAACCTAGGGACACTACTCTGCCCCCAAACCAACCTATACCACGCCACCGTGCTGTAATGAGGACGCAGGGTATTCCAGACAAGCTTGATCGAATATTTATGCATTGGTTGCCCATTTCACAAAGCACAATCCCCTTGTCTGCTGAGTAGAGATTGTACCTGTGTTCTTTTCTTCAAAATTCGACGCCAAGCCTAGGAGCTATTGGCATTCTCCTTCATAGTCAGACATCCCCTGTTTTACAACGATATTTGAGCATCCAGGCCATCCAAAGAGCTCCTGGATGCATCATTAAAAGCCATAATAAACATAGAGAACAAGCAGAATTCCAGGAGCTGAGATCTCGAATGCCAAGCCCTCCTTCTTTTTTAGGACAAGCAAGACGATCCCAAGAAATTTTGGCCCTTCCAGTATCATTACCATACCAGAGAAATTCCATACAGAGTTTCTGAACAAGTTTCAGAATCTTCTTTGGCTAAAAAAAACTTGAAGCCAATATTGAACAAGACCGAATATTACTGAGCTGATCAACTGCAATCTGCCAGCATAAGATAGTTTCTTAGCACGCATGATCTAATTCAATTGGTTATTGGTGTTGTCAATGCTTCACACTCCCTATCAGTCAACTTCCCTGACATAAGAGGTAGTCACAGGTAACGCACAGGAAGAGAACCTTCTACAAATCCAGATAAAGTAAGAGCATTCTACTTATAGGTGCTGACTCACCACCAAAGAAAAATGAACATTTCATAGGATTACACTTCAATCTAGAATGCCGATAGAACTGATCCAGGGTCTGCTTTACTGCCATTATCGCTTTTGCTGATCCTACTGTGGAAATCAACAAATCATCTACGAAACAAAGGTGATTCAAGGAGATCTTGCTGCAAAGAGAGTGGTAGGAAATATGTCCATGCTCAGATGCTCTGTTTAACATTCCAGTGAGACCCTCCATTGCAATTGCAAAGAGGTAAGGTGAGAAAGGGTCACCTTGTCTCACTCTCTTCTTTGCTTTAAAGATCCCTTTCATACCCTCATTAACACAAATACTGAATCTCGCTGTAGAGACACATGTGTGAATCCAATCCAAGTAACGAGTAGGGAAGTCCATCAACTTCATAATCATGAATAGATAATCCCAATTGACCGAATAGAAGGCTTTCATAATATCAGTTTTTATAGCACACCTAGAAGATAACTGCATTCTATGATACCCACTGACCAATTCTTCAGCAAGCATAATATTATCTACAATTTGGCTACCTTTAGTGAATGTTGTTTGATTCAAACTAATTACATTGGGCAGTACCTCATTCAACCTCTTAGCCAATATTTTTGCTACGATTTTATAAAGCACATTAACACAAGAAATAGGACGAAATTCTTTAAAAGTCTCAGCATTCAGTACCTTAGGTAGTAGAGCTACTGCAGTGGCATTGACTCCACTAAGCACAAAGAAGTCAAAGAACTCCTTTTGTAATATCCTCCCCAATAATATGCCAAGTTCTCCTAAAGAAACCCGAGGAAAACCCATCTAGACCTGGAGCTTTATGGATGTTCATTTGAAACACTATTTCCTGGATTTCATCAACTGTCACAACCTTACAGAGCAACTCTTTATCTTCACGAGACAATTTCCTATGAATAACCTCTTTCAAGTACTGAGAATCGGGGTGAACATCAGAATTTTCCACACCAAAGAGATTTTGATAGAATCAACCACTCTATCAAATTCAGTAATATCTTCCCCTGTCTAAGTTTTAATTCTTCTAATAGCTCTCTTTGCCGTTCTGATTTTCACTTATTGATGGAAGTATCGTGTGCTTCTGTCACCTCTATTAAGACCTTCTTCTCTAGATTTCTGGCAATATAACCCTTCCTCTGCCTGCTTTGCATCTTCCAATAGAGACAACAACATTTTTTTCGCCTGTATGTTCTCAACTGTAGGGGCAGTGAAGCAATCAATCGTTACTCTTAACAACTACAACTCTAGTTCTTTTACTTGGGAACTGATATTAGCATAATGCTCTTTGTTCAACATTTTTGGAGCCTTTTTTACCTCTTTTAGCTTAGTCTGTTTATATATCATGGACTACCAACACAATGAATGGACCAGGCCTCCTCAACAATATTCAGGAACTCAGGATTTCACTCCAAAAATCAAAATACTTGACAGGTTTAGGTAAAGAAAACTCAGGAGGTTTATCTTGGACCAGAATACCACAATGTTTTGAAAACGTACAAGGGATAGCTTTCATAATATAGTTAGGAAAAACTGTCATCCAGGTAACATTCACCAATGCTCTATCCAGATGCTTAGCAATCAGATTAAGCTGCTGGTTGTTCGCCCATGTAAAGAAAGGTCCAAGAGTATTAAAATTCTCCAGTTCCATGTTGTTTCGCCACCCCTCAAAATCAGACATACTTGATGTAAGAAGAGTCTGATTAGAAGCTTCACTTGGATGTAGAATTGCGTTGAAGTCTTCTCCTACTATCCAAGGGTAATCATCAACTTTAAGTCTACTTAGCTCAATATATGTTTCCCTTTGTTCCAACTCATCGTTTGCTCCATATACGATTGTTAAAAAATAGGAATCACCTCCATGATCTTGTATCAAAGTATGAAGAAAGTTTCTACTTGGCTTCAGAATGCTGACTTTAAACTCTGGTTGCCAGAACACCAAATACGATCAAAATCAGACTCACAGTAGTTTAAAAACCTTTCCCAACCCACTAAAAAACCTTCAGAAATCTCCTCCGACTTTGCTTGATGCACTCGAGTCTCTAAAACTGCCACTACACTAACATTCACTCGCCTCAGGACTTGTGTAAAGTCCCGTCTCTTCGAGAATTTATTAAATCCTCGAACATTCCAAAATAAACAAATCCTGGCAAGGAGTGGGGCTTAAGCCCCGCCTTCTTTTGCCCTCTCTTAGGAGCATCTTGCAACCGAACGACTTCATCTCCATCTTGATCAGTAAGAAAAACTAAATGAGGATGGAGAAACATGTAAAACACTCGTTGGACTAGGGGCTGGTGACCAGATTCGAGCATTTGCTCCATGAACCACTCTCTGAAACTCAGCTTCGGATGGCAACTATGGAAAAGACACTAGTGACAGGGGTCTTGGAGAGGATACCTAAGAAAAGGAGACATCTAGGTTTACACCCCCTATGGTGATTCTTGAAAAAGAATCCGGAGAAGAGGAAGCAGACAAATCCAGAGAACCCTTATCCTGAATGGGAGCAGTAATGGCAATCGGAGGAGTTGGGGAGACTGGGGGTAAGGTCACATCCACTTTCTTCTTACCCTTAGCATCTTGCTCTTCATGGTGCCCAGACTTAG